CCGCCGCCGCCCCCCTCCAGGTGCCGTCCCAAGCACCAGCTTGGGTGCCTGGTGCCTGGAGCCGGCCCTGTCGGGGATCCACCCAGTCCTCCGTCATAGTCCAGGAGGTCTCCGATTCTGGTGGCTTCAGCCAGCACCAGCCTCTGGCGCACCGAGGGGGGACTCCGCCACCTGCAGGGGGGTTAATGAGGCAGGAAGCCGGCAGCTTTGCCTTCGTAGCTGCAGCCACGCAGCCATGTGAAGAATTCCCTGCGTCAGGCCTGGGGCGCTTGCCAGGCTGCGGAGAACAATCACGGCCAGGAACCAGGGGAGAGCGGAGTGGAAAATCCACGGACAGAGTAGGAGCTGCAAAAGGAAACGCTGCTCATTGGTGCTGCAGGGCGGCGCGAGGCCCCGGTGAGGGGCTGCGCTGCGCCGCTGGGTACTGAGGGCTCGGGTGCTGGGGAGAGGTCTCCCGCACGGCTGCACAGGGGGCAGACTCTGTGCCTGCCCAAGCCTGGGCCGGAGCGCCTGCAGCTTGGCCCACAGGGAAAGCACGCGGTGCCACGTCACGGGACAGGTAGAGCCAGACATGCCTTCACCCCAGGGATAAGGGGAGCAGGGGAGAAAAGGCTCCAGTCTCCCCCTGGCACCTTTGAGCTCCCCACGGGGCTGTCCTAATACCAGGCTTCCCACGAGCCACGGCCACTGATGGTTAAACAAGGCTCTTCCCTCCTCCTCCTCACCCGCATGCAGCGCCCCCCTGCAGGGTAGGCCAAGCCCACTGTCTGCTCAGCAGCCGCTTCTCACCGCCTACAGCCCTGCAGCTGTTCAGAGCACCAGCAAGCGTCGAGCCCCAAGAGCAGCGCCCAGCAAAACCATGGGCCGTTTCCATGAGCCAAGAATGCCAATGACCCAGCTAACCGAGGGACACAAGCCTTGTCAGACTGGGGGGCGGGGAGGCAACCAAGCTGGTATCTCGTTGCTAATAATAGCCAGTACCAGCTGGGTCAGAGGAAGGCGCAAGGAACCTTCCCGATGGACAATTATGGAACGATCTGGCTTTAGGGGAACTGACAGTTGCCCGTTCGAGGTAGGCGTGTGCCCTATATTGCAGCAGACAGAGGTAGAACGAGATGCACCGACTGGAAGATGAAGCCAGACACATTCAGGCACTGATTTTTAACACCAAAGGTGATTAACCGATGGCATGTACCAGGGGGCAGAGGGGAGGCTCCATTGCTTGTAGGCTGTAAATCAAACGGGGGCGCGGGGGTGTCTTTCTAAAACGTGCTCTTGCTCAGCTGTGAGATAGGGCCTTGATTCAGCCGTCATCAGGTGAGCTCTATGCGATGGGCTACACAGAAGGTCAGTGTGACAAAGTGGGAATGGTCTTAATGTTTTCTCTGAGTGCTGTGTGGGTGCCTCAGTTTCCCCAATGCATTTCTCGAGTGTCTAGGGGTGTGTGAATGTTGCAGAGCCCTACGGGGCCAGTGTGATGGTGTCTGCACAGAGAATGGCCGACACCCTGTCTCCTGATGGCCTGGGCCCCGCCTCTGCAAAGGTGCCAACTAAAGGTGTTGGAGAACAAAAAGATCAGGTGGCCTCCTGGCCCCGGAAGAAGACAAAGGGAGAGGAGGGGCTGAAGAGTTTTCAGTTTGGAGCTGGCTGGGAAAATGGAGGGCATCCCAGACGGGGCTCTGGCCTCCCTGGGCTCCCCCCTCAAGATGGACCTGACTGAGGGGGGGGTCCTGTTGTCTGTACTTGCAAGACCTGTCTTGGACTGTGTTCCTGTCGTCTAAATAAACCTTCTGTTTTACTGGCAGGCTGAGAGTCATGGTAAATCACAGAAAGCCGGGGGTGCAGGGCCTTGTCTCCCCCAAACTCCGTAACAGTCAGACTAGCTGCTCATAACGGTCCCTTCTGGCTTTACCACCTCTGAATCGATGGCTCAGCCAGGATGGAGCTGGCTAATGACCCCCAGGGATAGCCAGCAGTAACCAATGGAAAACAGGCCCACTTTGTGGGCAAGAAAGACACAGTTGTGCTGGTGAGAGGCTTCAATAAATTTATGTACAAATAATAAAAAGCACAATAAATACAAAAGACTCTTACAATACAACCCCTCCGGACAGCCCGACCGCTAGCTAGGCAGGTAGATTGTGGGCTTGTTTTGTCTTTGGCTACAGACTCACTGTTCAGCCTGGCCAGTGCAGTCTCAGGACCCCGATTGTCCTGACAAAGCCTCTGCCACATCTCGGACACCAGCTCTCCTCGCTGACGCGTGGACAGGGACGTTGGTCTGAGAGCAACTACCCTTTGGATCAGGAGAGAGAGACACACAGAGTGCCTCCCTCCCCTGATCCTGGACAAAGCTGTGAGTACATAAGCAAACATTGCAACATGTAACATTATCTACCAGTGGCCCTGATCCAGCTCCCACTGAAGTCAAAGGGTGTGTGGGGGGGAGGAGGGCTTTGCCACTGACATCAACGGAAGGATAAATTCCCCAAATCAAGGCCCTTGGTAATGGACATTTTCCTGCGCTGGGCCCGTTAGCACCACAGGGAAAAGGCAGATTCGGTGCCTGTCCTGGAAAGTGACAGGCTGGGGAGAAGTTTAGATTACACTCCGGAGTCGTACGGCTTTACGCTGAGACAGCTCCCAGCCGGGCGCAGCACCGAGCTACCCCGGCGGAGAATCCTGGCCTGAAGCCAGCTGCGCGGCAGGTGGAAGAACACCATTCCTTTGGGGCCCTGTGTTATCTGGATCCATAACTAAGACACAGGCGTTAAAGGCACAAATGCCCCTTGTGTGACATTCACCCCAGGCCAGTACAAGGCTCAAGTGATCAGAGGCTGTGCGCTACCAAGTCTGCACAGGGGCAAATTCCATCCCCTAGTGAGCAACGCCCGCTTGTGCAAAACACAAAGGCCCGGTTGGCTGTGCACACGGGAAGGGGGTGTTGCACGGGCTCTCACACAGCGCTCTTTAAAGGCTCAAGGCCTTGAGAGAAGAGCTGGCTCGGCCCTTAACTTCAACGCCGCTTCTTGAACAAGGAGAAACAGATCCGAGCGCAGCCAGGAAGCCGGAGGGATGGGCACGGAGCAGGGGAAGGATTTCACAGTTTTTGATGTTTTTTGCAGCTAAGCTCTGAGCTGGACAATGGGGATTTGCTGAAAGGGGGCAGCAGCTGGGCGGAGAGGGCAAAATAAATCCAAGTGGGTAAGGAGGCCTAGGCAGGACAAGCCGTCCAGCCTGGGTAGCATCACGGAGGGGAGAGGAAACGCACACCAGGGCCTGGGAGAGAGTTTGCCACAGCAATGCCGTGTGTCAGACACTGGGTTTCTGCCCTGGATCGAGCCAGGGGTCCCATTTCGTTTTGCTCCTTCTCCGCCCCGGAGCCAATCACCCCTGACGCTGACGGGCGTCTGCTGCCCTGCATCAGCGCAGAGAGCTGCCTCTTCATTGGGGCTCACAGAGCCCTTTGGAGCCAAACAGTAATTCCAGGGCTGCCCAGCCGGGGCAGAGAGCGGCCCGCGGGGAACTGGAGCGGCAGTGGGGGGACGTATGGCAGCAGGCAGGGAGCGGGGGAAGGTTTCCTAGCTGGTTACTTTGCTGGTAGAGCATCCACCCCAGGGAGGAACCAGAATCCAAGCCAGACTCCCCTCCCTGCAGGCCTGCCCCAGAGACCAGTGCAGGAGGGCGCTGCGTCCCCCCTCCATCCTGCCCCCGCCCACCCCAGCGCAGCTCTCCACCCCAGCCTTTGCGTTGATCTCTCTGCCCCTGCGGCCAGTCCGGTGCCTGGCCCCCCAGGTTCCCACTCTTGGAGCGGTGCCTGGCTCCTCTGCGGGAGCAGGCAGTTCTAAGACCCCCTCCCCGTCCCGCCGCTCCGGTCAGGCGGAAGCACAGGGCTGGTTTAACAATCCTCTGCCTCTTTGACATGAAAGGCTGCAGCTTACTGTCACGACTCGGGCCGCGCCGCTGACAGCGCCAGCGAGGGCATAGAGCGCAAACATCCGAGCGACCTCCGGCGCCCAACAATGGCCTGTTTAGCCAGGCCGGGATTAGGCACTAAGACCCTGCCGGCCCGTACAAAGCGTGGGGCCGTGGTGAAAAGCCAGGGGGCTGGGGACGCACTTTCAAGTGCTCAGCACATATAAGCTACGGGCCAGCGCACCGCGGCCTCGGTGTCAGCAGAAAGCCAGCCTTGCCCGGGTTCCAACAGGGCTCCGCGCGAGACGGGGGTCGTTTGGAGGCGAGACGCTGAGGCTCAGAGCAGGGGGCTGTGGAAGGGCGGGGGGATGGGGTGTGTGGGAAATTGGGAAGTTGGTCGGAGATCCTGTGGGGACTGCAGTGGGACTGGGTGGGAGACCAGAGTGGGCTCCCAGGGGCGCAGGGGAGGGGACCTCTAGGATGATGGGAAAGCTAGAGATGACCAGGGTGAAGAACAGCAGCACGTCAGTTACTCTCCTGCCCCGGCCCAGCTCCATCCAGGCCGCGTGGCTGGTGGTAACCCCTGGAGACCCAGCTCCCTGCTAACGCGGGAGGCTCTCCGGAAAGGCTGGGGCTCCTAGTGCTGGCTGTGCCACCTCCTCGCCCGCTGGCAGGGGGCAAAGGGGCAAACACCCTGCCACTGGGGTGATAAAGGCGTGGCTCAGTGGCACCCCGTGAGCTCTGCACAAGGGCCAGGCAGCTTGCCCCTGGGGAGATGAAAGGGTTAACTACAGGTTGGTCTCTGGAGAGCTGGGGGTCCAGGAAGCCCTAGGGCCCCCTCCGTATCTCTGGGGAAAAGCCCAGCCATGGGTGGCGGGGCTGGGACAATGGGGGCCCCGAAGGCGGCGGCAGGGTTCCCAAAAGGGTGGGGTGACAGACCAATCTGATTTCCACACGGCGGGGCCCAAGACACCCCAGCCCCACAGCAGAAGCCGCAGCCCAAAACCCCACTCGAGTAGTGTAAACAGGGCCCTGTCCTCACTAAAGCGCATCCCAGAGGGGACCAGGCCTGGGGGTCCCAGCACGTCTCCAGCTAGGGACTGGTCAGGGCCGAGGGTCCGTTACCAGGAGAGAGTGAGGCCCGTGCTATGAAGACATTCCTTGGTGGCAGCTCCATGAGTCCTCAGGGATCCTCCCAGGCCCCCGGGGTGCCAGGCCTCCCAGAGCCCTACGTAGTCCTGGGAGAGGACGGTGGCCGGCTGGGGATCCTTCGGGGTCCCTTGGGGGTAGCGACGGAGCCAGAGTCTGCTGCAGGTGCCTGTGGCTGGGTCCAGATCACACTTGGGCTTCATGGAGCACGTCGGGGCTGTGGGAGGAACGGTCTCCCCGTGCCATGCGGGGCCACCCGGCTGGCTCACTTCCGGCGCCGCATGTCCTCCATGCTGACGCGGCCCCAGACGCCCACCACGAAGGTCTCGATCTCGCACTCGTTGGCGCCCCGGGCGATGCGGAAGTAGCCGCCCTCTCCCCAGTGCTTGCCCCAGGAGTTCGCAGCCACCTGCAGGGAGGCCAGAAAAAGACGTTAAAAGACATTAGCAGCTGAGTCTGTGTGTAGCATGTGTGTACAAGGACACAGCCAGCCAGACGCACGCATACAGCCAGACAGACAGACGCGTGCACACACAGACAGACAGACGCACACAGCCAGATGCACTCACGCACAGACAGACACACGCACACAGCCAGCCAGCCGCACACGCACACAGCAGTGCCCTGGAAAGCACCCCTTCCCTTCCCTGGTTCTGACCCAAAGTTTGGAACAACGGAAGAGGCTGCCCCGCAATGGCTCCATCTCCGGTTCTGCGCCAGCCGCAGCCCATGCCAGCTGGGCCTCGCCGGTCTGTCCTGGGGAGACCCGCAGCCCAGTCACACGCTGAATCGAACTGCTGGCTCCTGATCTCAATCCTGAGCCTTAGCGTGCCCATGTCTGGCTTCTAGTGCCCCAGGACACAACAAAACCCCCTGCCCACGGGTGAGATCTGCAGCCAGCCTCAGGACGGTAGCTTGAGGACTGGCCCCATGCTGAGGGCACATGGCCTGGGGGGGTTGATGGCACCTCTGCAGTGTCACCAGGACTCAGGAAGCCGCGCAGCACCGGTGGGACGCTAACCCTCCCACCACTCTCCACCCTACCCACGCAGCCCCCAGTGCAGGTGGGCTGCGATTACAGGGGTGTTTCATTGCCACGCAACACTCACCCAGTACTTCTGAGTCTGCCCCTGGGGCGTCCTCTCTTCTCCCCACCTGCGGCAGGATCAAAAGGAACAGATGTTTAGAGGCGGGGGTCTGGTTCTGGGTCAGGCTTGGAGCCTCACAGCCCCAGCCCCAGCGGATCCAGCTCATCTGAGTCCTCCCTTTTCATGTGCCCCACCCTTGAGCAAACCCAAGGGGGGGGGGAATGAAGACTTGGCCCAGTCCCCTGGAGCCGTCCAACCCTTGCCTTGTGTCCCAGGGCGAGCCCACTCAGGAGCCCCCCTCTCCCATCACGCGCTCGGTCGTGGTTCCAAACTGCGTGGAAACCTGGCGCCGCTCCACTCCGCTCCCTGGGGCTGGGCTCAGGACCTGGCCGGCTGGTTCGTTTCCGCGACTCTCCCGTGAGCAGATGGAGAGAACACAAGGGAGAAGGAGCCGCCTGCTCCTCACTTGCCTGCCCGGGGCTTGCTCAGGGCGTCAGGTTTTTCCTTCAGTCCCCAGCCGGGCTGTTGCCTCGGGGACTGTTTTGCTCCTGGTGTTGGAACCGGTAACCACGGCGACACTCAGTTTACTGTCATTTCACCGGTTTGGGTCGCAGGCTGGAGGGGTCCTGGGGCCAGGGGTTTGTTTAGCTTTGCCGGTTTCCTGGCTCGCGGAGATGGCATGGAGCCCTGAGGTCACGGCTCCCGCCTAAGGGTCAAGCTCGCTCCTGGAGCCAGGCCAGGCAGAGTTAGCAGTGGGGAGGGGGAGTCACGTGCTAAGGGATGTGAGAACCAGGAACAGAGGGGGCAAGTGCTGGGCAACCTTCCCCTACACAGCTCGGCCGGTGCCCCCCACTCCCAG